TTTTTCACATTCTGTCTCTCACAGTTGAAGTGTACCTCTGGTGCAAATTACTGACCTCTGTCATCATTTTAGGTGGGGGAACTTGCACAATCGGTGTCTGACTAAATACTTTTTTGCCCCACTGTAATACACCATGCTCTAGCAATAACAAATAATGGACAGTACAGACAAGTGTGTGATCCATGCTTCAGTATCAGATTCAGCTGATATTCTCTTGTATTAGACAACTTCTGAGAATCATCAACAAGGAAGGAGGAAAGAAAAAGATAAAAGCAACTTCCAGTAAAATCTAGTCTACAGCCACTGTACGTAATCTACTTAAATAGTGTTCGAGGTGACACAGCTCCAACTACTTTATTAATGTATTTCAATTGTAGCAATACCAAGTAATGTTGCAAAAATGACAATATAAAATTAAAAAAAAGTGTCCTATCAGTGTTTATGCAAATGAATCAAGTTTAAAACAAAAGAAGCTTTTCCAAAGTGACTGCATCTTCATTAGAATTGACAACATCAGACTTTAGTTGTAAGACCCTCTTGGGCTCTTTTTAATGCTCCCACAAATTTAACCTCAATTTCTTGACTTTAAGTTTTCACACAGGAATTAAAAGTAGGTTGACTCATTCATCAGCTGAAAGCTTTCTTCATCGCTGCCTTTCCAAAGCCTTACCCTAAGGGAAATTTTTCTCCCACTACCGGTGCAACAGGAAACATCAGATAATCATTAAAATGAAGTGCTTGTGTACAACAGATGACTGGTGAACTACACGGAAGAGGAAAATTTCAAGCCTCAACAGGCTCACCACAAAGCAATTAGCCTCCTAGGAAACTTAAGAATACCAGAACAAAACCCGAGTGGATGATTTGACCTAACAAGGTTACGTTTAAAAGACATTAGACACCAATTCAGTATAGTTTCAGTGTAATTCTATTGGTCGTTTAAAAAAAAGGGAAAATGTATGCTTTCATCAATGCCGGTTAGCCACAACATTAAAAGCTCTGACCTGAAAATATCACTGATCATCTTGAAGACCAACAGTCACTTATGAGGACAAAAGTGCCTGTCCCCACGAGCTTGAAGGCATTTTTAAACTGAAAATTTGGTTTTAGTGTCAGGGTTCCAATTATGTTATGGTCAATTAGATGTCCTCACTAAGATAGCAAAACGAGAATGTGTGTGTGTGTGTGCACGCACCATAGCCTGGGTGAATCAGATGTGTATGGGTACAGCATCCATCAAAGGGGAACGTTTTGGCATGTGGTGAGACGCTGAAGTGTTGACGTTGAGAGTGACGCGGCTACAAGCAATAAACAGCGAACTGGGGAGAACCAGTTTTTTCCAGCTGAACACTTGAATAAAGTTGGGAGTGAGAGGGAACAGTAGGCCACTCTGTATAAATTAATAACCTCCTGACAGCCTGGTGTGTGTCTTTTTGTTTCTCTACAGATTGATCACCATGGGGGCAATTGCAGGGTCGTCACACAAAAGGCTAAGAAACACAATCAAGGATTGTGTAGTTAAATGTATTTACATTGGCATAAAGT